GAAGGGCGAGTGTGATCACTACAGCAGAAATACCAAAGAAAAATGGCAATTGTTACCTCCCGAGCAAAGAACAAGGCCTAGAGCAGAGCCGGTTCCTACAGAGAATGACAGATCGGAATATGCTGGCGAAGGCCAGGCAAGTTCTGTGCTTCCTAACCAGTTAGAAGCCCTTCCTCCCGCGGCGGCCGAGCTGGGATCCAGAGCTTGGAAAGTGTGGGACCTGCCTCTCTGAGACCTGGCTGTCAGCAGGAGGATGAGGAGCCAAACACGTCCCATTGTTACCACCCACCCTCTGGGGCTTGCAGGGAAACTGCACTCCTGGCCGAACGAGAAATATAAACCCTTGCCATCTTCTCTTTCCGGGGACAAAGGCACCACAGATTTTTAGTGTTTCATCGTGCTTTTGGAACGAATGTCAACCAAATGCCATCTTTTAGGGACAGCAGCTAAAACACCTGTTCAACTGGAGTTCTTATAGTCAAATGTCCGTTACATTCAGTGATCTGAGGTCTTAAATTACTTAGGCTCAGGGAGTGATATTAGAAAAAAAAAAAGTGGCTGGGTGCAGTGGCTCATGCCTATAATCGCAGCACTTTGGGAGGCTGCGGTGGGCAGATCACAAGGTCAGGAGTTCGAGGCCAGCCTGGCCAACATGGTGAAACCCTGTCTCTAAAAATACAAAAATTACCTGGACACGGTGGTGCATGCCTGTAATCTCAGCTACTCAGGAGGCTGAGGCAGGAGAATCACTTGAACCCAGGAGGTGGAGGTTCCAATGAGCTGAGATCATGCCATTGCACTCCAGCCTGGGCAACAAGAGCAAGACTCTGCCAAAAAAAAAAGAGAGAGAAAATAAGCACATTTATAAATGTGTAGAAAATAGGCCGGGCACGGTGACTCACATCTGTAATCCCAGCACTTTGGGAGGCCGAGGTAGGTGGATCACCTGAGGTCAGGAGTTTGAGACCAGCCTGGCCAACATGGTGAAACTCCGTCTCCTACTAAAAATACAAAAATTAGCTGGGCATGGTGGCAGGCACCTGTGATCCCAGCTACTCGGGAGGCTGAGGTGGGAGAATTGCTTGAACCTGGGAGACGGAGGTTGCAGTGAGCCAATATTTCGCCACTGCACTCCAGTCTGGGCAACAGAGTGAGACTTCGTCTCAAAAGAAGCCAAAAAGGAGAGAGGAGAGGAGAGGGCAGGGGAGGGGAGGGGAGGGGAGGGGAGGAAAGAAAAGAGAAGAAAAGAAGAGAAAAGAAAAAAGAAAAGAAAAGAAAAGAAAGAAAAGGAACTACACCTGAAGCTTGTAATATTTTGAAGGTAGCTCTACCTTTGAGAACCTAATTTTCCCCAGGCTATGATTCCCTTTCTTTGAAAATTACCCACATGTATTTAACAGTAAACTTTGCATACAGTTTCAGATGTTCAGGAGCCCCATAACCTGCCTTGGATCTCAGGTTACACAGGTTAAGAATTTTTATTCAGGCCGGGCGCAGTGGCTCATGCCTGTAATCCCAGCACTTTGGGAGGCCGAGGTGGGCGGATCACGAGATCGGGAGATCGAGGCCATCCTGGCTAACACGGTGAAACCCCGTCTCAACTAAAAATGCAAAAAAATTAGCTGGGCGTGTTGGCAGGCGCCTGTAGTCCCAGCTACTCGGGAGGCTGAGGCAGGAGAATGGCGTGAACCCGGGAGGCGGAGCTTGCAGTGAGCCGAGATCACGCCACTGCACTCCAGCCTGGGCGACAGAGCAAGACTCCATCTCAAAAAAAAAAAAAAAAAAAAAAAAAAGAATTCTTATTCATGCCAAAATATACAATCCAATGGTAGAATTTTAGGTTATTATTTTAATTATTTTAGGTTATTATTTTAATCTTTGTGGTATTCTGTTTTTCAAATTTTCTAAAATTAGTAGTATTTCTGTAACTAGGAAAATACATTTTAAAGAGTTACCCAGAAGAAAAGAAAGAAAAAAGGAAGAAAGAAAGAAAAGGAAGGAAGGAAGGAAGGAAAGAAGGAAGGAAGGAAGGAAGGAAGGAAGGAAGGAAGGAAGGAAAAGACAGAAAGGAAGGAAAATGAATTAGCTTTATGTTTCCTAAGTTAATCTTTGCTGAGTGGCTGAGACGTTGGTTGAAAGGATGGGCAAGAACAGAGTAGGGTGACAGTCATTGGTCACCTCCAACTTTTGTCTAAGCCAAAGGGTTGAAAAAGACCATCTTGGCTGGGCTCGGTGGCTCACGCCTGTAATCCCAGCACTTTGGGAGGCCCAGGTGGGTGGATCACCTGAGGTCAGGAGTTCAAGACCAGCCTGACCAACATGGAGAAACCTGGTCTCTACTAAAAATACAAAATTATCCAGGTGTGGTGGTACACGCCTGTAATCCCAGCTACTCGGGAGGTTGAGGCAGGAGAATCTCCTGAACCTGGGAGGTGGAGGTTGCAATGAGCTGAGATCATGCCATTGCACTCCAGCCTGGGCAACAAGAGTGAAACTCCGTCTCAAAAAAATAAAAAAAAAGAAAGAAAAAGACCATCTCATTTCTACATGTTTTTCTGCATTTCTCCTGTATTTCAATAGTTTTGCTTTTAAAATATATATTTTTTTGCAGCCACAATCAGGAGATGCCTTCCAGATGTCATACCTTGACCTTTAATTTTAATTTTGAATTGATTCAAAGTTTTCTTATACATCCAGTCTTTCCTCATATTCCCTTGTTTTTATGGATAAGCTTCCAATATTTCTACCTAAACTTGTTCAAGTTCTAAACATGAGTTTCTTAATAGTAGAATATATGGCTTTGTGGTTGCTGTCTCAACAGTCAAGTGTTTGATCATTTGAGAAACTTCATTAACACTAGTATTAGGGGCCTATCAGGTATTGATACTGACAAGCTTCCATCACCAAGTTGGACTTGGGTGGTTCAGTCCTGTTTTCATGGACAATGAGAAGTTAGGTGAGGAGGTGCTCCAATTATTCTGTCCAATAGAATTAAGAGAAAGGGAACCAGTGGGCACAGGAAGACAGCTGGACCTCTCACTGGGATACTGCAAAGGCTAACAGCCAGTCTAGGAACTTAGTCACAGTGGGCCCTCCTTGAGCCAGTTCCACTGTTCAGAGAGCTATGCCAAGCCCCTAAAAGACCTGAAGGCTGACAAAACATCTGACTTTTGGGTAGAATCCTATCATTAAGTTTATAAACAATCCAGTATGGTGATCTCATGTTGATTTGTATCTGATTGATAAGGGGGAAAAAAGGGAAGAGTATAATAAACTTAGCCTAGAAGGTAAAATAAATCAAAACAAGGGTTGGTCTGTGTAAGAACAAACAGAAATCTTTGGTGTTAAAAGGTTGGAGGCAGCCGGGTGCAGTGGCTCATGCCTGTAAATCCCAGAACTTTGGGAAGCTGAGGCAGGAGGATAGCTTGAGGCCAGGAATTTGAGACCAGCCTGGTCAACATAGCGAGACTTTGCTTCTTCAGTTATTATGGCTATTCCCAACAACAAAAAATTTGGAATAGCTGTAATACTTATCTGGGATATTCCTATTATATAGGAATTAGTGTCTATACTTTTCTTATGCCAGGCACTTAGCTGTCCCACCAAAAGGTCTTTCACTGACATAATAAAGAGGCAAGATTTGAATTCAGACAGATCTGGCTCTTAAATACTAGTCCATTTCACTGCACCATGCTACCTCCCACAACTAGGATGGGAAAAGACATTTACAATTGTGAAAAGCCTGGAATGCACGAACTGATCAGTTTAAGAGGGTTCGATGCATACACCTCCTACACAATGTTATGAAACTGTCCCAAATATTTAGGAGGAACTGAGCGTTTACAGACACTAGAATTAGCTTTCAAACTAGGCCAACAACATGTTGTTTAACATACAAGTGCTCAAAATTAAATTGTACTTCTGCCCTCAGAAAACCCTAGTTGATAGCTTGGGTGTTTCTTATCATCTTTATTAGCTGGGGTTATGAAACTTAAATGGGTGATGTTGCTGAAACACTTTTCTCTAACACTTTCCCATGGGGAGTTAGAGGGAGGCTGCATGATTTGGCCAGGTTTTGTTCATCCCAAATTAGGTCAACAGCCCAATCCCAAAAGAAAGCACCATTAATGAAATGACATGTTTCAAGGGCTTTCCAAAATCAGTCCACCGGGTTTTGGCAAGCTCCAGCAAGGGTGGAGAGGGGTAAGGGGCAGCCAGGCCTTAATGGCCTTCTGAACTTGGGTCCTGTATCTGACAAGGTTTCCAATGGCTCATATGAACAAAACTGACTTTGCTGTTACTGCTGTTATGCAATTAAAGAGGCCAAATGCTGAAATAAAAATCTTACTTAACAAGGAGGATTTACAATAACAAAAAATTATCCTGAGCTTTTTCTTCAGTGATGATGTAGCCACAGAAAGATTGAGGATGAGAGAAAAAAAAAATCAACATTAGGAAACACAATGTTGCTTTCCTTTATTGCCAAAATGCAATATAGCAATGAAAGAATCAATACTTCGTGAAATGTTTCACACTGATGTCCAATCTTTTAATGTTACCCTTTTATTTCAACAAGCAAAATAAGTGTTAGCAGTTTTTACTTTGATAACTGCCAAATGATATCAGGAATATTACCTTTCCTCTCTTGCTTACAACAAAAACAAATACAAAAATGAAAGTTATAGGTAAAGACATATATAATTTATCAAAGGTTTTTTTTTTTTTTTTTTTTTTTTGAGATGGAATCTTGCTCTTGTCATCCAGACTGGAGTGCAGTGGTGCAATCTTGGCTCACTGCAACATCCACCTCCTGCCCCCACGCCCAGTTAATTTTTTGTATTTTTAGTAGAGACAGGGTTTTGCCATGTTGGGCAGGCTGGTCTTGAACTCCTGACCTCAGATGATCTGCCTGCCTCAGCCTCCCAAAGTGCTGGGATTAAAAGCGTGAGCCACCATGCCCAGCCTATCAAAGTCTTTTTTTTTTTTCTTTTTTTTCCTTTTTTTTGTTTAATTTATTGAAGACCACCTCCCTACAATTTCCAGAGAGAAAATACAAAACAAGAAACAGACTTGATTTCAAATACATAACCAGGTGCTGGAGTTTAAAGCATTGCTGATAACATTGTTACAGAAGAATGACAGCTTACTCCAGGGCACTTCAGTATTCCTGAGGAGTAAACATGATTTCTCCTGTCCTCCCACTGGGATGTTCTCAAGTGAAGTCACTGCTCCTGCTTGTTGACATATTTTCCATGTAGAAGATATGGAGCCTGGAAATCATGCTGACAGTTGGAGTAAGCCATTCCTAATCCCGTGCCAGAACTGAAGGCTAATGGCCACATTCTTCTTTTAAAGAAGGTAAGTGAGAAAACAATTCCTAATCCAAAATCAGTACCTATCTTCACCACCGCATCTGCCAGGCACCAGTCCCACTTCCTGCCAACCACCCATGCCTCCAGCTTTCCTCTCCACCGGCCCCGCGCTCTGTAACACTATCAAAGTCTTAAATGACGTTTCAAACTGCTAGATGGCCGGGCACGGTGGCTCACACCTGTAATCCCAGCACTTTGGGAGGCCAAGCCGGGTGGATCACTTGAGGTCAGGAGTTTGAGACCAGCCTGGCCAACACGGCAAAACCCCATCTCTAATAAAAATACAAAAGTTAGCCTGGTGTGGTGGCAGGAACTTGTAATCCTGGCTACTTGGGAGGCTGAGGCAGGAGAATCGCTTAACCTGGGAGATGGAGGTTGCTGTGAGCCAAGATCACGCCACTGCACTCCAGCCTGGGCGACAAGAGTGAAACTCTGTCTTGAAAAAAAAGAAAGAAAGAAAGAAAGAAACCCCATCTCTACTAAAAATTCAAAAATTGGTGGGCGCGGTGGCTCACACCTCTAATCCCAGCACTTTGGGAGGCTGAGGACAGCGGATCACGAGATCAAGAGATCAAGACCATCCTGGCTAACATGGTGAAACCCTATCTCTACTAAAAATACAAAATATTAGCTGGGCATGGTGGCGAGTGCCTGTAGTCCCAGCTACTCGGGAGGCTGAGGCAGGAGAATGGCGTGAACCCCGGAGGTGGAGATTACAGTGAGCCAAGATCGCGCCACTGCACTCCAGCGTGGGAGACAGAGCGAGACTCCGTCTCAAAAGAAAAAAAAAAATTACTCAAGTGTGGTAGTGGGAGCCTGTAGTCCCAGCTACTCTGGAGGCTGAGGCAGGAGAATTGCTTGAGCCCGGGAGGCTGAGGTTGCGGTGAGCCAAGATCACGCCACTGAACTCCATCCAGCCTGGGCAACAAGAGCGAGACTCCGTCTCAAAGAAAAAAAAAAAAGAAAAAAAGAAAAAATAAAGAGATTTCAAACTACTAGGAAACTAAAAATGTTGGTACATTAATAAATCACTGGCAATTTAGACATTAACACTACAAGAGGGAGAAGTTGGTGGCTACATAATGTTTTTATCGTGACTTTTACAAATCAAGCTGGTTATAAAGTCATTCTGTCATTCTCAAAGATATTAAGTTACCCACATATAAATTAAATACAAATCTCCCAATGCCTCTATGGATCTAACGACTCCAAGGAAACTAGCATGTTAAGCATTTTATCTAAAATATGAAAAAAAACTTTTTTGGAAACCAGCTATCTCCTGCTCATTACCTCACTATTGAGTCATGCCTCCTTTAACAAATCCAGACCTTACACTTTCTATCCTGTCTTTTACACCAGTCCCTCTGAAGCCATTAAAACTCTCCCATGTTAAAGCAAAAATCTAGGATGTCCAGGTTTACTTCCCCATCACCTTTTCTCAAGCTGAAGACTTTTGGATTCAGTATCCAAGAAGGGACTCGGGGAGAGGAAGAGAGGAGCAAGTAAGTAGGAAAGGAAGGGCCGTCTGTACTGTTAATGTCTCTTCCCCCTTCCCTTTATGGCAGCCTTTGTACAGGAAAAGCTGAGAAAGTAATCCACGGTTCCAAACAAAATGCTCTATGCTTATGAGGACCATGTGTAACACAGGGGTTTAGTGCTCCATTTTATTTTTTGTTGTTTTTTTGTGTGTTTTTGTTTTGTTTTTGAGACAGGGTCTCATTCTGTCTCCCAGGTTGGAGTGAAATGGCACGATCTCAGCTCACTGCAACCTCCGCCACCCAGGTTCAAGCGATTCTTCTGCCTCAGCCTTCCAAGTAGATTACAGGCACCCACCACCGCATCCCACTAATTTTTGTTTTGTGTTTTTTTTTTTTTTAAGTAGAGACAGGGTTTCACCATGTTGGCCAGGCTGGTCTCAAACTCCTGACCTCTAGTGATCTGCCTGCCTCAACCTCCCAAAGTGCATCATAGTCGTGAGCCACCGCACCCGGCCTAGTGTCCCATTTTAGCAACTTGGCTGTAGGAGGTGCTTCAAATAAGTATTAGCCAGTGCTCTATACCTAAACAAGGTAAGGATTAAACATCATTCCATGGAAGGATTTTAAAACACAACTGTTACCTGCAAAAGGCAAAATATATTTATATGCATGTTGATGAACTAGGGGAAGAAAATCCTTGTGTTTGTAGCCAAGAAGGTAAATGGAGACTTGTTGCAGTATATTACTACTGACTTGGAAATATGTCTTGGCTGAGCACAGGGGCTCACGCCTGTAATGCCAGCACTTTGGGAGGCCAAGGCAGTGGATCATGAGGCCAAGAGATCGAGACCATCTTGGCCAACATGGTGAAGCCCCGTCTCTACTAAAAATACAAAAATAAGCTGGGTGTGGTGGCACACACCTATAATCCCAGCTATTCGGGAGGCTGAGGCAGGAGAATTGCTTGAACCCAGGAGGTGGAGGTTGCAGTGAGCATTTCACTTTTCCTAAGACTTATGTGGTACTACTGTAGGTAACACTTTGCGGTTTCCACTCAGAATCCATTGCCTGTTCCAATGACAGCACATTCCTTAAGAGTGGTGGCTATCAGCTGGATGTGGTGGCTCACACCTATAATTCCAGCACTTTGGGAGGCCGAGGTGGGTGATCATGAGGTCAGGAGTTCAAGAGCAGCCTGGCCAAGACGGTGAAACCCCATCTCTACTAAAAACACAAAAATGAGCCGGGCATGGTGGTGGGTGCTCGTAATCCCAGCTACTCAGGAGGCTGAGGAAGAGAATCGCTTAAACCTGGGAGGCAAAGGTTGCAATGAGCCAAGATCGTGCCACTGCACTCCAGCCTGGGCGACAGAGCAAGACTCCATCTCAAAAAGAATAGTGTCTATCAACCTATACTGTACAGGAGCCCTTGGGAATTGCATTTTTTAAAAAGACCCAAGGTGGACCCTCACAGCCCTCATCAACTAAACAGAACTGGGTACTTTCCCAGGTGAGGCCCGTGTGCAGCCATGATTGACCTTGGAATCCCATTCACCCTTGAAGTTTGGGAGGAATGAATTCCACTTGCAGCTCCAGGAGAGATTTATGATTAAATTTAAGGTGTTTAGCCCATCTCCCTGGCCAAGGAGACTTAAGGAGACACTGGCTGAGGGTTTCTGGAAAATGTTACTCATTCTTCTGTAAAAACTGCAGCCAGGACTACTCTGGTTCATCACACCAGTTTGGATGGGTTACCTTTCACCAGCGACATGAAAGGCTCCAAATTAGAAAGCCACACACAGGCATGGTGAAGTAAAGAAAAGGGTGGACTCTAATGTTTATTTACAGGATGCTGCAAGATATGAAATTCCACATAGAAATAAGAAACCTAGTCAGAGGACAAGCTTCATACAGTATGTACAGTTGGAACTGTTCAAGTATAGTTTCAGTGTAAAAAGTGCTACAATAACAAACCACAATTTAAAAAGAGTTCTTAGTAGAGAAACAATAAGACAAAATACCAAACGCGGTACACAACAAATGTCCCTCAGCTACGTGATCTAAAAGGTAAAGGTCCCAGGAGACCATCCTGAACTTGGAAGGTGTAGCCTTCAGAGGTAGTTTCCAGCACAACGTTTTGATCTTCCTCTTCCTGGAAATATACTAAAAAATAAATATAAAAAGAATATAATTATTCCAAGCAGCAGCCTATCTAGAAGTCTGTATTCAATCTCTAGGTCTTGATCTGCATATTATACCTTTAATCCTGTATGATATTCTAGTATTTGACATAGGGGAGGGAGGGTCTCTGAAACTTTGCCAATTCATGAGTGCCTGGGGAGTTGCGGGGACCGGGGATAAGGAATGCTACTACAGTGACAGAAACAGGCCGAGATTTTTTTCTTCCCCAACTGTCACTTTTCAATAGGAAAAGACTGTATTAGGCCCAGAGCATGGCGGTGGGTTTGGCCTACTTCTCTATCACCTTCTACAATGACACCCACTAACTTACCCTCCAGATAGTCTAAGATGCCCAAGGCTGTCCACTTGAAACTAATCTGGTGACTTTTAAAATCTCACCTCAATGCCAAGACCAAGGTTCGAGGGCTTATTGAGATCATCTGCAATGCAGCAGGGTACGAGAACATTCCCATCCGGCACCATGAAGACAACTTCCTGAGGCAGTTGGCTCAGAAGGTCCCCCACAAGCTGAATAACCTTAAGTTCAATGATCCACACATCAAGGCCAACCTGCTCCTGCAGGCTCGCCTGTCCCACATGCAGCTGAGTGCTGAGTTGCAGTCAGATACGGAGGAAATCCTTAGTAAGGCAATCCGGCTTATCCAGGCCTGCGTGGATGTCCTCTCCTGCAATGGGTGGCTCAGCTCTGCTGTGGCAGCTATGCAACTGGCCCAGAGGGTCACTCAAGCCATGTGGTCCCAGGACTCATACCTGAAGCAGCTGCCACACTTCACCTCTGAGCATATCAAACGTTGCACAGACAAGGGAGTGGAGAGTGTTTTCGACATCCTGGAGACGGAGGATGAAGAATGGAATGCATTGCTTCAGCTGACTGACAACCAGATTACAGATGTGGCTCGCTTTTGTAACCGCTACCCTAATATCGAACTATCTTATGAGGTGGTAGATAAGGACAGCATCTGCAGTGGCAGGCCAGTGGTGGTGCTGGTGCAGCTGCAGCGAGAGGAGGAAGTCACAGGCCCTGTCACTGTGCCTCTCTTCCCGCAGAAACGTGAAGAGGGCTGGTGGGTGGTGACTGGAGATGCCACGTCCAGTAGCCTCATCTCCATCAAGAGGCTGACGCTGCAGCAGAAGGCCAAGGTGAAGTTGGACTTTGTGGCCCCAGCCACTGGTGCCCACAACTACACTCTGTATTTCATGAGTGACACTTACATGGGATGTGACCAGGAGTACAAATTCAGTGTGGATGTGACAGAAGCCGAGACGGACAGTGATTCAGACTGAGTCCTGAGGCATTTACTCTTGGGTAAAGGAGAGTTGAGCCTGAATTAGGAATGTGTACATTGTAGGGATCCTGGTGGTTATGGGGACCAGGTCTGTGGGCCCGATGTCTGGCCCGCCAGGGCTAGAGCTGTCCCCGCCCACCTCCACTTCCTTTTCCCTTGTTCACACTCTGGATCCAGTGACAGCAGGGGTCATGGGTCAAGCATAAATCATATATAGCATTTTCAGGCATGTTACTGGTAGTTCCTTTTGAGTCTGACATTCTAATAAAATAATTTGTAGAAACCAAAAAATAAAAAATAAAAAGATTTTATTACTATCAAGCCAAACATCAGAGGGGCAAATAAATACATTACATCCTATGTACACTGATAATTTTACTATATTTAACAAAGATATGAGGCTCATTTTTAAAATTATGAGTGAAAAAAAGGGCTTGACTTTAGATGTTTCCAAGTTATTATTAATATTACCATCCATTACTCACCTCTACAGAGAAATACTTCTCAATTAAGCTTAACGAAGCCTTATACACAGACTCATTTTCATGGTTTTGCAGAGCTTCAATTTTGTCTAAGCCGCCACATTCTTCAATCATTATACTAAGTTTCTCAGTTTCACCTAGTTTCTCAGCAGCCTAAAAAAAAAATTCCAAGTTTACTGGTGTATACTCTGAATGTTTTAATGAAGAAAACATTGAAAATTTTGAATATTGATATGTCAGGCAGAAATAAGCACCTTAACAGTTCCTTCATCAAGCATGTCATAGTTTTATGTCCATTTTATATTTTGTTGAAACTCAATGTGATTGGATCTATACCTGCTTTTAGCACTACTTCAACTGGAGCCAAAGATCTTACAATCAATAGCTCTCAACCTTTTCTATGTATCAAAATCACATGGGCAACTTTTAAAACACACTACATTCCAGTTCAACTGGTCTGCTATGGGAAGAGGGGCTTATTGTTCTGTAAAAAATCCTTTATCATCACAAGGTGTAGTCAAGATGTCTAAGGGCAAAGATGGCGTATGGAGTGCTAAACTAAATGTCTGACCAGAATGTGTGTTGGTATTAAGGATTTATTGGGCATATGGAATGGTATGTAGGTTAGTTTTTCTTTAAATTTTCAACTTTTAAGAGACACATAAATATCTATAGATGAAATAGCAGATTTACTTGAAAATAACTTAGGGGATTAGATGAGGGGAAGAGGAAATACTGGCCACATATTGACAAATTATTTATACGCAGTGACAGATATGCCAGCATCCATTATTGTAGGCTCAATTTTTTTTTTTTTTTTTTTCCGGAGACAGAGTTTCACTCTTGTTGCCCAGGTTGGAGTGCAATGGCACAATCTTGGCTCACTGCAACTTCCGCCTCCCAGGTTCAAGCGATTCTCCTGCCTCAGCTCCTGAGCAGCTGGAATTACAGGTGCCCGCCACCACATCTGGCTCAGTTTTTGTATTTTTAGTAGAGACGGGGTCTCACTATGTTGGCCAGGCTGGTCCTGAACTCCTGACCTCATGATCCACCTGCCTCGGCCTCCCAAAGTGCTGGGATTACAGGCATGAGCCAGCATGCCCGGCCTATAGGCTCAACTTCTATATGTAAAAATCTCTAGAATCCAAAGTTGATGAGAAGGGCTTACCTACCACCAATCACTGTGACAAAGTGCCATATGCTGGTATGCTTGGATCAATTAGGGGTGGAACCAGAAGAAAAATATAATTAAGTCATTCACAATTTTTTTTTTTTTTTTGAGACAGTTTCACTCTTTCGCCCAGACTGGGGTGAAGTGACGCAATCTTGGCTCACTGCAACCTCCGCCCCCCGCCCAGGGTTTAAGCAATTCTCCTGCCTCAGCCTCCCGAGTAGCTGGAATTATAGGCACCCGCCACCACGCCTGGCTAATTTTTGTATCTTTAGTAGAGACAGGGTTTCGCCATGTTGACCAGGCTGGTCTCGAACTCCTGACCTCAGGTGATCCACCCTCCTCGGCCTCCTAAAGTGCTGGGATTACAGGCATGAGCCACTGCACCAAGTCATTCAAATTTAATTTCACCAAAATTCAGTAGAAAATTGGGACATTAAATCAACCAAGTGAACAGGTGTGATGAGTTCACATAAGCACCCGACTTTGATTCAGGTCCCATCATCCACTTGTCATCTCTTTTATATCTTTGATAATGCCTGCCACATTTTTAATCAAAGGTGTGGCCCACCTAAACAGGCTTTCTGAATCTTTGGCTTACTAGTGAGTAAACTTACAACAGCTGCCCTCCCCCAGGTCTAAATAGTAAACTGATTATTATCAAGTTCAAATTCAAACAAAGCCACCTTGATAGGACTTACCTGAAAGATATTTGAAATGGCATCCAGGATAACAGAATAATCTTGGTATCTTTTGCAGTTAAGAGGTTCATCAACGGTTCTATTATGCCACAGTGAACGAGGTACACAATCTGCTCAACTGTTCTACCACTAGTATAGTTGGTCATGGCCCATATAGCCTCCTTTTGTGTCTTAAAATCTGCCTATTCAACATAAGGAAATGGTTTGATTTCAGAACAGTTGCACAAATAAGATTCCAAGAGTACTTTTTCACAAAAACAATGACTGAAGGACCAAGGTTCTATCCAACCTTAAGTGAAAGGGGTTCCTGGATATTTTTCAGCAAAGGACTCCAAGTAGAACCCAAGATTCTTGCACGTGAAGAAGCTTATCAAGCACAGTTTTCTATAAATACTAAAAAATGACTTGATTAAATCCTAAGACTTCATTACCTTAGAGAGAACACTGACAAGGAATGGGACTAATCCATGATTCACAACTTGCTGTATCTGGTCCTGACGGCCAGCTGTGATGTTTGACATTGTCCATGTAGCTTCCTTCTGAATGTTAGTTTTGGGGTTGGTGAGCAGGCTGGGAAAGACAGCGAGTGCTCCTGCATCAGTCACAACCTGAGTCTGTTCATCTGTACCAGTGACAATATTCCCTATGGCTCTTAAGGTAGGAGTCTGAAAAGGAAAAATTGTTGATGCTGGTTACCTTATTTTTTTCTTAGCACTTCAGAAATTCTGTACCCAGGCTGGAGTGCAATGGCATAATCTCGGCTTACTGCAGCCTCCGCCTCCCGGGTTCAAGCAATTCTCCTGCCTTGGGATTAAAGTGCATGCCACCACGTCCAGTTAATTTCTTTGTATTTTTAGTAGAGATGGGGTTTCACCATGTTGGCCAGGCTGGTCTCGAACTCCTGACCTCAGCTGATCCACCCGCCTCGG